AGTAGGAGACTGACTATCTCTAAAGCAGAGACGGTGAACCTATGGCACACGTGCTACGGCTGGCACACAGAGCCCTCTCTGTGAGCACCCGAGCCATAAGTAACCATCAAGAAATACTTACCCATCCTCTAATCCCAGATTTTGGCACTCCCCTCTGCTGGTGCAGTGGTCTAGCAGAGGGGTGCAATGGCGACCATGACCGGCCTAGCCCAATGGGGGATTGGAGGACTAGTAAGTATTTCTTTGTTAATACTGCCCATAGGAAGAAAAAAAACACAAGCATTTAACACTTGTAGTGCAGGAGCAGTTGTTTTTTTCTAAACTAAAACCTCAGCATTCGGGTTTTAATTGCAGTGTCAGCATTTTGAAATAAATAAGTTGATTTTGTGTTGCAGTTTGGGTGCTCGGGCTCAAAAAGGTTCACCATCACTGCTCTAGAGCAATGTTCCCGGAAGATCAGTAGGTACCTATGGCAAAATAGCCAGTATGGGGAGTGATGATTAGCCAATGTATAATGAGATGATCATTACTGAGTTGCACAGCGACATTACAGGTTTAATGGAATCTTGTAAATGTGATACCAGAAAAATATGAAGAGACCAGAAAGTAATGTTGGGATAAGGATCTTGATTGGTACTGAGGAGAGTGGGACCTTTGTCAGCGCTCTCTGAGGACAGTTCAGTGCTGGGTGGGTGACAGTGATAGTGGCTTAGAGAGTACTAATATCAAGGGAGCCTGCTGTGAGGGTGAAATTTCCAGGAGTTTCCCTTCAGAATGGGAGAAGAGTTGTTGCTCTGCATCAGTGGCTGACTGGGCTGGAAGGTCAGTATCAGTGACTGCAGATGATGGCATCATGATTATGGCTTTGGCTTCAGTTGCAGCGGTAGCACTGTGGTGTCAAGTGACGGAGAGAGTAAACAAGGTGGACTTCTGAACTGTTGATCCCAACTTTAAGGCTGTGTCCATTTTAGAAGTTCCCTTTTATTTTAGCTGGAAGAACCGGTTTAGAAGGTCCTTTCACTGTTGAGAATGGGCTACCTTCAGTGGTGAGAAGAACCACTTCTCCCCAGAAGAAAGTTCAAAGTCAGGTTTGTCTATTCTTCTGTCCCTCTGAAGAAGGCCAGACAGTGGTCACAGGCCTTAAAATTACAAAGGCAAATTAAGAATTGAGAATGCTTGTCAGAGTTGGGGATCCTGAACCTGCAACACTTTTTCCCCTGTTTACGGTGTGGATACTGCAAACAGGGGAAAATGCAGAGAATCAAGTAGAAAGAGGAGAGGGCCACAATCAGACAACAACACTAATTTTGTTGTTCAGGGCAAGGGTCAGAAAGTGAAAGGGTGAAGTAAAGGAAAAAAGGAGTATATTTACAGGCTTTAGGGATCCAAAAAGGATTTTTAGATTAGGCATCCTTCAGTCTCGAGAGACTATGGTAATGTGCTCTGCATAGAGGACTTGGAATAGCATCTGAAGGCCAATTCAAGAGTGACAATCCCTTCCACACTGAAGACAAATACAATCTGTCCCCTGTCCAGCTCCCTGATTTTGCTGGTTTCGGGACAGCCTCTTTGCCTCAGCCTGCTGAACACGTGTCTCTTTAAAAAGGGAGAGGCCATGCTGCACCGCCTGCCTCCAGGCTGAACACTCAGATGTCAAGGTTTCCCATCCGTTGAGCTCCATTCCAAAGGCCTTCAGATCCTGCTTGCAGATATCCTTGTATTGCAGCTGTGGTCTCCCTCTGCGCTAATTCTCCATACAGGAAATCTTTTGGAATCTGACCGTCAGTCATTCTCACAACATGCGTGAGCCAACGTAGAGGTCGCTGTTTCAGTAATGTATACACGCTAAAAAAATTTAGCATCCAAAAAGGACAGTCAGAGGAAAGAAGTTCATCGAATATGCTAATAGCTCAGCAAAAAGAAGAAAACTGAGAGGAAATGTTGGGAACCATACAATACAGCACAGTCAGGGAGGTGGGGTGGAGAGCCCACCAAAACTCAATGGCCTTTAGCTACTGAAACACTGATATTGGGCTATGCAGATGCAGACTCCCACAGGTGTAAGTCACAGAGACCATGAAGAAGAAAAACAATAATAATATCAGATCAATATTGAAAAAATAAAATTCTGCAAGATCAGCAATAGATCACCCCTTGTCTTATTTGAATTTTTTACATAAAGAAAATATTAAAATATGCACCTCATTTGATTGTGCATTGAGCTCACAGGATTGAAGTATTTACAATCAAAAACATTAATAAAATGTATGAATCCATTCAAAATCCTTGTTACAGGGAAATACAAAGCAGATGCCACAGACAAACAAAAAGGCACAATCTACCATATCTACTTGAAGAAAAGACTTAAATAGCCATTCTGTTCCATTAGAGGCAATCATCCAAATGACTGGTGGCTGGGTATAAGGAATAAGATTGCTAGAGAAAATAATTCATACTAAAAATCCACTTTTAAAACCCACTTAAATGTAGGTTTAACAAAGCACACTAAAAACTGAACATTTAATACAGTAATTTCTTGCTCATTATTTCACATGAAAGGAAAGTGCTCCTAAGAAAGAGACCAAGTGGATCTTGTCCTTGTATTGAATTCTTTTCAGTGTTCTGCCTTCTCCTTTATTCATGCAATATCATTAAATCTGAGCAGATTAGACGATTGTTGCCTAAGCTGGTTTATAAATATGTAAAATACCACCACTATAGACACTTATACACACTTATATAATCATATGGACACATACTGTTAACACTAATACTAGTGAATTTACTGGAATTTACTTGTAAGGAAACCTGCTTAGAACTGTGCTATACGGAAGTACCTTCATATTAAATATGCATTACAAGAGTAGTTTAGTTCATGGTTAGGTGTTACACAGAATCTATTTCTGAACACAGAGAATACTGTATGGAACTTAGTATCACTCATAACTTCCTGGACTAACAAAGATACCAACATACAAAAACAATTTCTTAGGCCGATCTATCCTATGCAGGAAATATTATTTAACACCTAGCATATGTTACTGTTGTATAATTGGCTAATTTTGATATTTGAGCGGAATTACACAAACCTGAAGTTCAAAATTCTACATAGCTAACAAAAACTGGCAATGCTCCTGAACTTGATGACAGGACCAGGAGTCCATTTCAATTCAGGGCTTGAAACCAAGGATTCTGCCTATATATACTTAAGGAGAACATCCCATGATATGAATTTAGATATCTCTGTTATTTACTGGCTACAAGAAAACCTATGGCAAAGTATTGTATATCATTACAAGCTGAGGAGGCTATTGGTGAAATTCAAGACATCTGAAAATTTGTACTAGCAATAAAATGCAGTAACAAAAACTAAAATTCAGATAACAGAGAGATGCTAAGAGAAATACTGTATAATGTCTGTCTGTCTTTATAGTATTCTTGTTCATATGCATAATTTACATTCTATGAGAATTTCTTTCCTGTGTGTCATTTAAAAACAGAAGCAGCTCAGTCCTGAACACATGGAAGATCTTTTTAAAAGCCTAAGCTAAAACTCAGACAAATCCTATCTTGTTCACTGAACTCAATATATTTCTCCCACATAAACTATAGTCTTATCAACTATGCAAACAGTCCCCTGGTACATCTGGTTCTTACGATTACTAAATGCTGTTATTATCTGACTAAAAATAGGCTTGTGATGTACTACAATTTCAAATTTGTGTTTTTTAAAAAATTCACATGGAAACTGAAGATCCCATTACTGGCCTTTTGGCTTTGGCTTTATTTCTGACTTCACATAACAGGTTGCCATTCCAAAAAAACATAGCAATGCAAGCTAACAATCCCAGCAGTTAAACACATACGCTGCATACAACTCTACAAAATAAGAAGCATGTTCAGGGTAAGAAAAACATTTTAAAAAAGGACCACCAGAAAGACAATTTCATCAGGTTTTAAGATTTTTCAGAAGTTGGATGGATTTCTTTAGAAAGAACAACGTGTTGAATCTCTCAAGTTACTAGTCTCCTCTTTCTGTGAAGAAAAGGTCACATATGGAATGAAGGAGTAGGGGGAAAGCTTTCTACATTTCTTTCTTTTAATGCACTGATTTATCGGAGTTTAGCAATGGGGGTTCAGTGGAAAGACGTCAAGGAACTGGAAATCCTGCAGTGTTGGAATTACACAGTTATCTCTAATGGAGAAAAGTAAACTTAAAAGCAGACAACTTATTTGGGGAAAGGAGGAAAATGAAACAACTCTACTGGAATTCTGTTTCTAAACTTGATCACAGCATAGCCTTTAACATATACAAATAGTAATAAGTGTACATTTAAAAAATGGGGGTGGGAGAAATGTGCCCTGTTATTTTCAGAAAGATTAATGTTATATATGAGATTGAGTGATTTTGAGTAAGGAACCACAGACATTACCACTGCACTGACGATACAATTTACCTTACCATACCTACATAAATAGTTTTCTTAGAAAGTACATCTCCCAAATTTACAATTTACTACTGAACTGCTACATTAGAAGCAACTATCATTTCCAAATATAAAAAACAGAGGGTTTCCTTACAGCACATTGGTTTAAAATGACATTAAAGAAAACATTAGCCCCCCAAAATGGCAAGTGATCATTACTTCACACTCACAAGGAAGCAAAGCCTGAATCCAGGAGCCCAAACAGAAGAAAATGAGTAACAGAGCCATGGGAACAATAGGGACACAGGCCAAGGAATTAAACGTGAAAGAAGCAGGGAGACTAGATACTGAATTTCCCTTAGAGATTCAAACTAAAGTCTCAAATACTTGGTAGCTATTTTCTAGGGTTTGAGATTGAAAGTCTGTTTAAGTACACCCATAGCGAATATGCTGTAAAAGAAATCCCAAATAGGTGTTGTTGTTTTTCCAAACACAACTTTCCTTGAATTGGCAAATTACCACATTTTATAAGATGTTGACTATCATGTTAGCATTCCACGTTTTTGTAGCTACCTCTTATAACATAATTATCCAAGGCCTCTTCCATTCTTTGCAAAGCTTCTGCTCTGTTGGATCCATAGGTAATCAGCTAAAACACACAGAGAGACACAAGCAAAAAGAAGTTACTTAAAAATTGAATGTAGTACCACTAAAAAAAATGAATTCATTCTTTTTCAAACACATTGCCCATCAATTTGGGCACCTTACAATGATTTTAAAATATTCTTAGACTATTAATTATTCATGATCTTTTTTTCTAAACTAAAATTATAAAATGTTAGCTATGCCCAGCATCTTCCTCTGAGGTCAGATGAGATGATATAAATTCATATCTGCGTACTTACCTATTCTGTGCATGATAATCTGACACAATAATACGTGATTTTGCATGGGTTCACTCCTTTGGATAAGAGTACTTTGCAGATGTATAAATTTCATTTCATTTCTCCTGCACTGAAAGTTCAAGGACTAGAACAATGGCAATGAACCTTTTATTTGGGTGAATGTTGGTGGAAACATAAGCACCACTTATATTCCTACACAAACCAGTTAATGACAAAAGGACTGGCCACATCCCTGAGCATCACATGATTCCCATATGAAAACATCATTGGCAAGGCAAGGAAGGAAGAACACCTGCAGAACGACCCATATTGCTTTCAGAATTTGTTCTCACTGGAATACAATATTAAACTTCAGTTTAGTGCTACAAGTATAAGCCATAGAAATTTGTGGCCTGCAATCTCCTCATTTCGTCCAGCATATCTGGAAATTCCAAAATGTTTGCTTTCATTTCAACCATAGTTTGTCCAAACTATCGGACATCTAACATTACATCCAAAACCAGACTAAATTTGACTATGACCTGTTGAAACTAGACAAATTCAAACCATACATTAAGATGTTAGCTTGTTTCATAGCTAAATTAACCACAGATTAGAGTCTGGACAGTAATATGAAATAGAACATCAAGTTTCCTGTCCTCTTTTCATGACTACGTTAGAGGTGGAAAAGGGAGAGAGGCACATGAGAGCCCAAGGCTCACTGTAACTTATTTGAATATGAACATCACATCCCAGTGCAATTTATAGCCAGGTTCAGGTCACTGTCTGTTATTTTAACAATCCAAGCTACAAACAAAGCACTTCTCAAGTCCACAGATCCTTCGCTCCTCCTTTCATGCAAGCTATAATTAACCATACTAACTATCTGATGCAATGCAATGAAATTAGGACATTAGACCAACCTCAAATCATGGTTTAAAGTCCACAAAGGTACACATGTAAAAATATATTTGTTTAATAAGCTAACGTGTGATGCCATTTTCCCTTAATCTGATAGCAATAAAACATGACAAAGAAACAGAAACGTGCAATTACAAAAAAATAGTACAACTCTCCTTCTGCTTCTTTGGATTTTTTTCAATGGGATTTAATTGCATTTTGAGAGCTTTTTATCCCCCTGAAATATCTGGTATCAAAACAAAATAACTAATAATGGTTATGACATCCCTAAAACTCTAAAAGACCAGTGTGCTTATATTACAGTGAAACAGTATTACATTACCAGTTTAAAACAAGACATTGTCTCAAAGAGTAAGACAAACCAAAAGTCGCTTCTGAGTAAATATAAACAAAATACACCCTAAGAATTGTCCTATTTATCTTTCTTACAAAGTCATTATACTTTGCAACACTGTCTCATCTATTTAAAAAGCAGACTATTTTAACATGTAAAAAATTAACTCACTTTTGAAATCATTGGATCATAATAAATGCTGATTTCACTTCCTTGCTGTACACCACTGTCAACACGAACCTACAAAACATTGAGATAAAATTGTTTTATCAAGGGCAGTTTTGTTACTTTATATGGTAATGCTACTTTTCCCACTCAAACTCAAATTCATTTTTATAGACTTTGAAAATAGATGCTAGCTGTGTTTTTTGCAATTCTGAAATGTACATTTTTGTATCAGATTTAACCCCTGTCAAAAATGTGCATAAATGTAACTGATATCTTGCATCATAACTGACTCTGTGATATTCACATCAACTATGTCTCACTACATGCATGGCCCTAATGCTCTAGAACTCACACTAAGGCCTGTCCAATATAAACTATGCTTATTAGGTATATAGTAATATGAGTCTTGTAGATATTATGGATATTATCCCTACAAAACTTTCCTTCTCTGACTCACCCTCATCTATAACTTATTTTTCTTCTGATAATGCCATTCCCACAAGACTCAAATGCTTACACAGATTTTCCCATGGCTTTGGTTTATATAAGAATAGAGCATCAATTAAAGTTCTGATTCTGCAACTCTTGTGGGGAAGCACACACACACACACACATACACATTTCTCTGAAGAACTTGGTTACTACTAATAAGCCAACAAAACTCAGTACAACTGTTGATATTTATTTTTATCTTCTCTATTGATTCATGTCAGAAGAATGTGGAAATAACCTTGATTTTAATTTCTTTTAAAAAGATAATTCTTGAATTAATATTTTTTAAATTTGCAATCTGGAAAACAAAGAAAACTCAAAGAAAAATATTCAAAATTATTTTATAACAGCTATTAGTATCCAGAAGAAAGGTTGGAAATGATCTGATGGAGTGAAGGCCATCTGATTCAAAATGCAATGCTTGAGTTTCACAAGGAGGGGCAGAAGAGGCTTAGAAACTCCCTTCAATCTTCACCTGGGGAAGAAACCCTTGTAATAAAACAGCAGCTCATCTGTCTGCAGCAAGGCAGAAAGAGGTCAACCCAACGGCTGTTAGGCTTTTAGATTTTAATTTAGGCAATTATCAAGGGGCCAGATGTAGAACCTCTTGTCTACAGTATCCACATGAGGTCACACTGATAACTTTATTATCCAAATGACATGTTCTAATAGGCTTTATTCTCTGCAAAGAATACTGCATTGCTTTTTTTTCTGATAAAAAAAGATAAACTGCCTTTACAATAGTACGATTACATGTTCATTAATGCAAGCCTCATAACTGTAACAGCAGCTGTCATGGGCCTTCATTAGAAAAATGTTAAGATGTCTAAGAGATGCACAGTTTATCAGCATGGTGGTTTCGGCTAACCCCATTCCACAGAAGCAGAGAAAAACTGGAACCACTGAAAGGTTACAGGCAACATGGCAGGGGAGGGAAGTGATTACATGACTGCATCCTCTTCTAAAGAATGTATCATGTTCTACATCATCACTGGAAAATATCTGTCTTATTTAGATGACCAAATAAGTGGATAAAGTCAGCCTTACAATGCCAACATAATATCGTCATCATGAATTTCTGAAAGTAAATATCAGTAACAAGTCAGTCAAACCCAATTAAAAGCACACAAAATTCCTCATAAAATACAAGATGAACATCTTGTTATACTTAAGATGCTAAAATCCTGAACCAAAAGGGTGACCAAGAAGCTAAGAACACAATTGTAACTGGACAAGATGGCTGAGGACCAAATGAGTTGATACTAAGCTGTGCTAAATCCAAAGCCCTCCCAGCCTAGCTATGTTAGAAATTACTAACAGCTACCATAACTTGGCCTAACTTTATGCCAGAATAATGAGTGTGTCCCTGAGCCAGAGAAGGTTTGTATCTGCCATAATCGTCTCTCTATATATTCCTTTCTCTCCCTCTCCTCGTTCTTTGGCTCGTCCACTGGCAGATCCTGGTCAACAGAGCAGTTTTGCTCACAGATATTTCTGCCAACAGATCTCTAGGATAAAACAAGGCATAAGGGGGCTCTGCCAACACGAAAGCATTTCTGCTGGCAAAAGAGGCTTCTGCCTATTCCCAATCTGAATACTGGAATATCCTTAATTTAGGATGGAGTACAGAACTGCAGATTTGAAGTTCCACATAAGTCACTCAATCACTGTCAATGAAGGTCTTTATATTTCAAATCAAATGTGAATAAAGTCAATATAGCATACCATGCTTGAAGTGCCAGTCAGTACTTTAAAATCTAAATGTTGATTCCATATTTTAGACTGGCTAATAGACACAGAAAGGGAATCTGTATTTGTATATATTTCTACATAAAAGACTACATTTATGAACCTACATAGATTTTAAAATAATCAGAGGAGGCCTTTGTCTTGGGTGAGGCTATATTAGCGGCAACGGAGATCTAGTCAAGCCTTCCCATTCACACAGAAATCATTCCTGCCAATATCATGGCTTAATTAATGAACCACTTCAAGATACTGGCAAATTTATCACTTCCTCTGCTTCTCAGCAGAGGGGCAAGAGCAGTGATTTTATTTTAACTGTATATGAACTACTGTGGCTTCACTGCATCAGTTATTTAAAACTATTTTCTTTGCCTTCCCTTAAAGAGCCAGTTGATTAACTTTCAATACACTGAAAAGGCTTGCTTCACAATATTGACAAATTTAAACTGGAAGGCTTGATCACACAGACTAGAACCAATCCAAACCAGAGTGATCCTACTCACACACAAAAAAGTACAGTGGGGTCTTGACTTGAGAACTTAATCCGTATTGGAAGGTGGTTCTCAAGTCAAAAAGTCTGTAAGTCAAGTCTCCATTGACCTACAGTGCATTGAAAACCGATTAATCCATAACAGGCTGTTTTTGTTCCATTTTGGTTTTTTTCTGGTCTGTAAGTCAAATCTCAGTCTGCAAGTCAAACCTAAATTTTGCGGCCAGAGAAGGCTGTAACTCAAAAAGTCTGTAAGTCAAGCCGTCTGTAAGTCAAGGGTCCACTGTAGAGGGCTTCGACAGGAAGCTGGAAAGGTACATATAGGACAGCTCTGGGGATAGGCTGGTATACTCCAACAAAGAAGTCATCTGATCACCATATTTAAGTTATATTTAAGATCAAACTTGCCCTTTCCTGCATTGGACCAAACAGCAAGTTAAACACCCATGCAATCAGCCTCTTGGTCCTGCAACCTTCACAGGTGTGCTTTGTGAGGACAAGAGAAACAGCCTTCTTTGTCACTGCTACTGAGTTATGCAACTCCCTCCCATAGGAGGCCAGGCTGGCTGCTGTCCTTGCTGTCCTTCTGCAAGCAAGCAAAAAAACCTTTCTCTCTTTAGGAAGACCTTTTCTCTGTAACTGGCTGCCTAAGAGCCCATCCATAAAAATGGGACTGCTATTTTGTGGGCATTTTTTTTTTCATTTCATTTCATTTCATTTTTAATATTGTTTGTTTCAATACTGTAAGCTGCCTTGTGTCAACTTGAGGAGAAAGGTGGGGTGTAAATGTTTTAAAGTAATCAATACTAAATAGTTTTGAGAGCTGAAGCCAAAATCTCAATTCGTGCAAAATGGCAACACATGTGAACATCTTCTAACATTCACAAAGCCACTCAAGCTTAACTGTTTCGGTTTCCTCACCCAAGCAAATTGGAGGACTTAACTAGTTCCTCACCAGGGATGTGGCAACTAGAAACCCTTGATAGGGGCTACTATGTTTCTAGTTCTCAGCTATGTCCAAGATTTTGCAAGTTTCACTACATAGACTCCCTGCAGATACTTCCCCCATGCCGGTAAGTTTTCCCGGCTTCCTACAAAAACAAGACCCCAGGTTTTCTTTTTTCCTCTTTTATTTCTTTTGTCTATTTTTCTGCAAAGGAAGCTCCCCAAATTTGCATAGGTTAACATTCTTTTCAATGAATCATGGTTAGGAAAGATGCCATTCTGTACATGAATTGTAATAATCCTGCACAACTTTTTTTTTCTGGAAGAAATATAACTGTACTACTCTATAACTTCTGAGAAATTCTGACAGATTTCTCATGAGATTTCTTGGAAGCGGGCACTTGCATACAGAAACTTAGCTGCAAGGAGAAAACAGGACATCCTTACTCTTCATAAAGGATGAGCTCTATAATGACAACTTCTACATGATTATTGGACTGCAGTAAACAAGATTTTATGGGGAAATTGAAGAGGGAATGTTCCATAAATGCAAACCAATGGAAAACATCCCTAGCTACATGTGCTGCCTTCAGAGATCTAAAGCTTTTGAGACAACAAAATTAGACAACAATTATAAGATGAATCAAGGTTCAAACCTCTGTTTAGCCCACCCCTCCATTCACATAGCAGCTAACCTCTTATATGAAACTCACTGCTTCTAAGACTAGAGATAAGTATAGCCAACATTGACCCTCATTTGTATTATACAGTCGTGCCTCGCAAGACAAATTTAATTCGTTCCGCGAGAAGCGCTGTCTTGCGAAAAAATCGTCTTGTGAAAAGCAGTTCCGCATAGGAATGCGAGGCATCAGTCTCGGGGGGTGTGTGTGTCTTGCGAAGCACGGCCATAGAAGAAGCTGTCTTGTCAGGCACCATAGTGATCGCAAAAACCAATTGTCTTGCGGGTTTTTCGTCCCATGAGCCATTCGTCTTTCGAGGCACCGCTGTATACCTCAGCTGTCATCTTATGGTTTTATTGTTGCTTCTTTTACTATTTGTATTGTTTGTATTTATCATATGCTGGTTGGGATAGTGGTTGGGATATTTTAACTCTGTTGTAAACCAACCAGAACAGTGTTTTTTCACTGAACGGGTGGTATAAAAATTACATAAACAAACATACCCAGTATCTACAAAATGGCTTACCTTCCACCAGTCTTTCTAATCTGCCTGTTTTGATACTCATTCCCCAAGTCTAGAGGGGTCCTTCTTGAGCTTTTCACAATGTATTTTTGTTTTTACTGTCTACAATAATTTGGTATCATCAGCACATAAAGCAGCCTTACTGCTCACTATATGTGGTATACTGAATGACTCAGCTTCTTCTTAAGAAAACATGGCAGATTCTGCTCTGTGCTGGCTCTGACATCTATCATATGAGAATGCCATATAGTGGCCCTCTTTTGGTTAAACATCATTTTACACATTAATATTTAAATAACACATTTTCAGAAAAAAACATTGAAATTAACAAACATATAAATTATATTATCCACAAGGAAATAAAAAGGCAACAAAAACGTGTGTCGCAAGCCTTCATGATGACAAAGGAAGGATAGAAGGCTGAGTCAACCTTGAGCCGGCTACCTGGGATTTGAACCTCAGGTCGTGAGCACAGTTTTAGCTGCAGTACAGCATTTTAACCACTGCGCCATGAGGCTCATATATTAGACAATGCCCCAACATTTTCAATATAAAATATGACAAAGCATATTCATGATCAACAATACTCCTTTGCCAAAAAAAAAAACACACACACAGCAACACATACACAATCACCCTATTATGTTCAGGCAAGTGGAACACACAACTAAAGTTTGCTATGTCAACTAATCCAGTCAGCCAGATACATTATTCTCCACAATATTCTACTCATTCTCCCTTTGCAATAGGATTTTCAAACATTCTTGCCTTGGCCCGTGGCAGTCCTTTGCCACTGACCATGCTCAGTCTTCATTGAGTTGTTCTGTTTCTCCCCCACAAAGGATATTATATATTATCTGCAAATCCTGAAGAAACGTGGACCACGCTGATACCTCCCCTCTTGTGAGTAATGGTGCTGCTTCTTATATATAAGGATCTTCACTCACTACTGAAATTTGGAAACCGAGACTGCTATAATTTGTTTAAGGAAAATGCTAATATTGTTTCACAATGTGCTATAATGTTCTGCGTGAGGGGGTTCCTCCCTCCAGTTTAACTGTGAGATGGCCTCAATTGCCAAAATAACTTCTTAGCTTCAAAGATTTTCTGTTGCATTGGAAAGGGGGGGGAGGGAAGCTACCAACCTAATGTACAAAAGAAACCCAGATACTCTATTTTTAACATGATAGTGGGAGTATACAAGAAAGGGAAAAGCCCAGCCACTCTGTATGAGATCCTCAAAATCATTACTCTTATGCTTGCAGCATAATTAAAATTTCTCTCCTCAATATTACAACAGACCACGTGAATCTATCAGGCATCCCCCACCCTTCATTTTCAATTCACCTCTCCCCTAAGCACAACTCCCAACCCGCCATGCCTACCTGACAAGTGACAGCCCAATCTGATTAAATGCTTGCAAAGGAGGGGACTCGTGGGCCTCCATGACAGGCCAAAAGTGATCACCATGGAGATACATAATTACAGCTGTCAACGCATCTACTGTCCTGCTGGCATCAATTTGATTGCTCCCAGCAATAATGATAGACAAAGCTTAGTATGCACTCTCTTGCACCCAATCACTTTTATCTATTCCGTGGTCCATTTAGCTGACATGCAACATTCGCACAAGCAAATAACAGCAGTAAGCAGAACATTTAAGGCATTTTAATTGTTTTTTTTTCTTTTTCCGAATGGCTCACAAGTGCAAATGTTATTACATAAAACTCCTGCTGCAGCATTAATTGAAGAAAGATTTGGTGGGACAAAGACCATAGGGGGTAGAGTTTGTCCATTATCACTTGCACTTTCAACAGGTCTCATGTTTAGAAAATTGCAAATTGCAAAAACTTGCAAGGGCAAAATATTTGACATCCTGTTAGCCATTACAACATGGTGAAAAACCTCAACCTGCCCCAAGAGTAATTACTAAAAATTCTTCCTTAGTTCATTTGAGTTTCATTAAACATGCTTAAGATATATTCTATCTGTAATACATGTGGTTATTTTTTTGTAATCTTCCATTCAACATCACATAGTGCCTGCTAAATCTTGACAATTTGTATTTCTGCTTTTAAGCTTTGAACACAGCATGAAGCCTTAAAGCCCAAGAAAGGGTCAGGTCCTCTCTGGGAAGCATATGGGCAAAAACAATTTAAGAAGTGAAATAAATCCTATATCCAATAACATCACAAAATTTAGGATTCGGCCTGTAATCTTTCACCATTTTTTCCATGTAAGTAATCCTGATAAATAATCATATTCACAGATGGTATCACCTTGTCATTTCACAAAGCAAACACCACATCATGTATAGACACTTTTTGCTTTGACTACCTTGATTATACAGAAGAGCAGAGATGCCCTTTTCCTTCTTGTTAAACAAGCACTCTAAAAAGATAGTCTACAATGTTGTGTAATAATCACTTTTCATCAACTGTAGTAAATTGCATTTGGTCTTTAAAGGATTGAAAGTTAAACAAACAAGAACATTTGTGTTTGGGGCATTTAGGATGCCAGGGATGGGCAATTATACATTTTATTTTCGTCATTCTTCTAATTATAATTGCTACAGCTATACAAACCATGATTGTCTCACAGAAAGCATAAATCTAGAAAGAATATATGGAGAGCTTGTTTAAATATCCACATCCTTTTTCTTTTGCATTATAACTTTTTTCTAATTATTACAAGATAATAAAATTAATTCCCCTCCCCATTCACATACAAAACAATATAAGGTGGCTGGTTTTAGACAGTACTGAACACCTAAATAGTCTACTGAACTTAGTGAGTTCTGTGGTTTTTCAAAGCATATGAAAATGAGAAAGAAAGGAAACATCAGAATTACTTACACCGGGCACATGCAGTGGTTCTTTGTACTGAGACAGTCTACCAATAGATGGCAGACCAAAAGATTTGTATGGATCCTGAAATGAAATTCAAACACAGTGAGGTATTAACTTTGTAAGACAAAGCACAGGAAACAAGGTTAGGTCACTGGGAAGCCAATCACTTCCTCCACTTTAATTTTGGACCTACTATATTTTGCACTCAAAATGTCTTATTTTGGGGGGAATATGAATTTGCCTCTTCAATTCAAGTCATGGAAGGTTTGTTAAAGCTAAAACCTTCCTGCTGTGCCTTTATTAAACCAAGGGCAATCTTTCTAAGAGAAGGCACAATGGTAGGGGCATGGAAAGGGAACAAAAACACATCACACATACACACAGAGAGAGAGAGAGACCAAAATCCCACAGACAAGTTGCACCCACAATCCAATGTTTTCAGAATCACAACTCAAATAAATTACTAACTTTACAATACTGAAGTACAACAGATAGCATAAATACAGATTTTGTGGCATTCAATGTAAGAAGTATTGGGACGTTTCTGTCATCAATTGCTATGTTCATCCTCTCTCTTCAAATTTCCAGTTATCTATTCAAACGATTGTAAGCAACTGAACAAAATACATCTCACCAAAATACATAAATATACATCAAACTGACAGCAAACACCTAATTAATTCACATTCTTACTTTGAAATTAGATGCATAAAAGCTTGAATTGGTCAGTTCTAAATAATGATTAAAAATAAATCAGGGGTATTCACTACACTATCTGTTCCATATATTATATAAATGTATAGGAATCATATCCTTTTTATATCCACTTAAAAAAATTATATCTAAAGTGAATTTATTAGAAAGATCATATCAAACATTATATGAAGCTGAAGGATCGTAATTATACAAGACTCTTCTTCCATACACAATATATACTTTTTTCTCACTTTGGAAGACTTTCGAGGAAACAAACACAAAGAAGAAGAAATATACCCCAATTCTTGGTCAGTTGTGCCACTGGCAAAGGATCAAACTGAAATAAGAAACCTTGGGTATTTTTCTACACCTGGCACAACAGCTTCTTCCACAGCCATTCCCTCTCCCAGCTGTTCAGTTTTTTTTTTACCTCAGCATATACTCGACATTCAACTGCCCAGCCATTTATGGGAATATCAGACTGTTTGTGCCTGAGAGGGTAACCCTTAGCAACACGGATCATTTCTTGAACTAGGTCCAAACTGGTAATGCATTCTGTGATGGGATGTTCAACCTGCAAGGTCAAGAACTGCAGTCAGTAGGTAGCAAAACAACTAAACTCAACACCACCACCACCGCCGCCGCCTCACACACACACACACACACACAAATAAACAAAAATATTGAAAACTTGAAAGGGAATCATTTACAGTACTAGATATTCTGCCTGGCATGCAGATACTGTACACAGGAGAACAAATCCCACATTGAAGATGCATGGCAAAGGAAAGATAGAGGCAATAAAACAAAATGTAACTGAAGACAATGTTGAAATTACACATCATATGTATACATACAGAGAGACAAAGAGAAATTATTTAATTAGGAAGGGTGATTTTTCCCCCCCCAAAAAATGTAGGGACAGAATCTTAAAAGGAGAGCTCCAACTTTTAATCTACACATACAAAGTATTTTTTGACTGAAATCTCAAAGTAGGTAACTGATAATCAACCCATTCTGCTACACTTAACATGGCATGTACAGGAGCAGCCTACAATCTTCCGCAGAACCAGACTAGCCTAAGTCTCACCCATACGCCTGCTTTCACTAACCTGTCCTGACAAGCAACCAGATTAGCGTAATCTTACATCAGTGCAGTGTAGCAGAAATGAGCAGATGGATCCTTCAGAAACCGCCCCCCTTTTTTTTATCTGTGTAGTGCTTAACATGCACAATGGCTGAGTTGGACCAGTAGAATCACTGTGTGCTCTCAGCAAATAGCTGCTAACGGCTTGGGATGATGCTGTCATGGGAATACCCCTCATTCACAGTTAAACTAAGCAGGAGAGCCAGTGTACAAGTCTCTCTTATTGTCAAGACAGATTTATATACATGAGAATTTAGTTTGAAAAGCATAACTTAACTCATATGGAAGAATTATAAAATGATAGCTATTTGAGAAACTTAGTAGCCAAGTTATATTAAATTGATAGGTACTCTATCCATGTTAGGTTTATAGAAAAAAGAGATTATTGAATTGCGATTTGTATGAAACATATTTTGGTGGATATAGTCATATATTTAAGAAACCCAGTTTCACAAGGGTGTCTCTATTCAGAAATGTCAGAACCATATGTAATTTATGAAAAGAAAAAGGTCACTGAACAAACTAAGTATCTCCTTTCAAGTATATTAATTGAAGAAGAACATTTTGTTTATTGTAATACCCCTACAGTGGGTCTTGGAGATAGATAGATAGAGAGAGAGAGAATAAACAGATGGCACTCATAATTAGTCCTTTGTGAATTTAAGAATTTTACAGTACCATATTTTAAGACAGACTGACACCTTTAATGACATCACTGAAATAAGCAGTTTCAAACGTCACAAGAAAATGCCAATGTGATTATGTTGTTTTGCAGGCTATTTCTGGGATTCAGTGCCAAACACGTAATATACCACCAGGTGTGCCAAACCCAATAATAGTACTTGAGAACCACCAAAAAAATTCTACATCTATCCTACAGTGTTAATCTCGACCAAGCTTCTACTGCTAAAATTTCGTAAATTATCAACATTTTGAGAACAAGAGTTGCTTTCCCAGGACTTCCAACTGTTATTTTATTTAACTGCCTCTGAGATAACTGCACCCTCAAAACCATGTTTTGGAAAACAACTGAAATCTTTGTGAAGGCATTTTGATTATTTAACTTTATCACCCATTTCCTTGAATTATCATCCCATTGTGAAATACAATAACTCCACTATGGAGTCAAGTTTCATTGTTAGTGATCAAACTATGATGAAACTCCTCCGGAAAGCAAAATATTAGCATAGTTTATTCTCAAAATACTTACTAACATTTATTTAATTTTCTCTTCAAAAGAAATCTTTGGATTTATAAACATAATTGTCTATTGCGTCAATATGCTTCCTTTGTACAAAGCAATGAAGGGGAAAGGGGGAGGGAACAGTACAGGAAATGGAGAAGATGTTGAGCATTTCAGTAAGGCATAAACATTTTTCTATATTTAAACGTTTTGCTGTTTTACTATAATGTAGTAAGTTTAAGACACAAATTGCACATTGTATATGGAAACAACATAAATTTAGAGCAAGTATGCTTTTGCACAACAGGATTAAATAGCAACAGTATCCAGCATCTTATTGAGCCTTCTATGAGCCAAGACTCCCAATATGAGACCACACAACTTGTACAAAGATTGCTGCTGTACAAGCAATGAACTCCATAAAGAAAACCACTTGCACAAGTTTCATGATCCCATAGTACTGAACAGGACTTTCTGCTCCACCATCATTCACTCAACAGGGTACTGGCCTCTGCCATTAATGTTACCTTTTCCCAAAGGCTCTTGATGGCATGTTGGTCACTGCCTAAAAACTATTAAACTGTAAATACCAAACTGTATTCTCCTAAAATGAACAGATTCCCATAAAGCACTCAATTCCTTAGTTGCATTACTTTACATTTTCTTATATTGAAACTCATTTGTCATTTTGCTGCCCATTCTCCTGGAGAGATCCTTCTGGAGCTCTTCACAATCCCTTCTGGTCTTCACCACCCGGAAAAGTTTCATGTCATCTGCAAACCTGGCCACCTTACTGCTTATCCCTGCCTCCAGGTCATTTATGAATAGGTTGAAAAACACTGGTCTCAGGACAGATCCCTGGGACACACTGCTCTTCAGCTCTCTCCATTGCAAAAATTGCCCATTGACACCTATTCTCTGTTTCCTGGTTCTCAACCAATTTTCAATCCATGAGGACCTGCTCTCTTATTCCCTGACTGTGGAGTTTTCTCCACAGTCAAACGCCTTGGTGTTTGAACGCTAAGGTGTCAAACACCTTGGAAAGTAGAAAGCAAATGTGGGCAAATGGGAAGAAAGGGAAGTTCCATTTTGGGAATGTTTGATCTGGACAAATCCATGGTTAGGTATGGAACTGAGAATTCTGGAGTGAGTTTATTTTGCCTTCATTTCCTATATGTTGGAGTAGGCAACTAAGGTCAGATGAGCGGCTAACATTATCTTGACATCTCCAGAAGAACCTACAACTTTGCTGATCACACATATATTGAGGCATGGTATTACTTCAAAACAAGGAAATCTTTGCTCTTGTAACAGATCTTGTAACATGTCATCTTTGCTCTTGTAACAGATGAACTGTGACATAGAGAACAAAGTAATTCTCACTTGCTTTTCCTACTCACAAAGCATCTGTCTTGGTCAAAAAAAGCAGACCACCATAAGATCTTTGGAAACGGTGCTTGCACAAAACCTAATAATTTGACATGATTTATTATCAACAATGCATGGAATATTATAAAGACATACTATTGGTCCAGTGGAACTGTACTAAATTGTTTCCTATCATAAACCGAATGAAATCAAATCATGTATTTGCAGCAGCTCTTATCAGATCTTTCTTTTCAGCATTCCTAAACTACATGTTTGATAAAGCATAGATCAGGATAGGATCTGTTTCAACAACAGATCAAAGAGCATGCTGTAGAAGTTTGACTTTTTTTAAAAAAGTGACAGCCAATGTGGTGCAGTCAATGGAATGACAGATGGGGCTCAAACCCCACTCAAACATGGCCATGGCAATGGTACAATCACTCCTTAAATATTTCATATACAGTGGTGCCTCGCTTAACGAGCGCACCGTATAACGATGAAATCGCATAGCGATCCGTTTTTCTGGATCGCTAATGCGATCGCTCAATGAGCTTCAGATAGGGAGAATTTCGCTTTGCGAAGATCGGTAAGCGTTTCGCTTCCCGATCTTCGCAAAACGAAGCTCCGACGATCAGCTGTTTGGCGGACAAAATGGCCGCCGGAAGCCTCAAAATGGCCGCGCGCAGTGTTTTCGCGCCCTCCCCTCGCTTAACGAGGACGCGCAAATGGCTGCCAGCCATAGGAAAACTCACTGAACAGTGAGTAAAGGAGCCTTTTGGAACGCATTAAACGATGTTTAATGCGTTCCAATGGCTTTCCCTGTCCCGTTCAGCGATGTTTCGCTATAGCCAGGCACCACTGTACCTTGAAAACCCTGTTAGAGTCTATAAGAAGCTGCTTGATAGCACATAGCCAAAAAAAAAGGAAAGGAAAGGGAAAAAAGGAGGTCAAAATACGGTACTTTCATTCACCATGACAGCCAGTTTCTAGATTTCAAGGACCGTTTTTCAATCTGTATTTCACTTTTCCCCCTCACATTTTTTCCCTATCTAATGTATCTTGTCTTTCCAGACTGAGGTTGGGTAAAATATAACTTTCCTAATGCCCTGGACTGCAACATTCAGCATTTCTCACAACTGACTTTTTTTTTTTACACCTTTGTAGTTTAAATGGATTGCTTTTTATGCTTTTACCTTTTTGTATCACTTGGTCTGTTCTTCACAGTTTTAACTGCAATTGTTTCTTAGATTTTAGTATTGTCTGAGTGGGAAAATTATAAATAATTATTACATAATCATTAAATTATTTTATGTAATTAGATTCTCATTATATTATATACTCTTAAACAGTGGCTACTGCTGAAATAGTCCCATTGAATCCAGGGAACCCACAGAGATACTGACCCATCAAATTCACACTGATTCAATGGGCCTACTCTAGTTGCAACTTCCTACTGGATTTCAGCCATTTAAAAGTTTTCTGGGCTTTTTTATGGTTGATGGGAATTGCAGTTCAATAGTATCTGGAGCAAAATGCCAAGTCACAGTCTTAATCCTGTCAGATTTGTTTGTTCTGGTGAGCACTTCTGTTGAGGACTGGCAACAGGGAAACTAGCTTTTTAAAAACTGTTGGATGCTTTCTCCCCACCGCGTCCCTTCATTTTCATAGTTTCATCAACTTAGTTGTATTGGATGCCACCCTTTCTTGAGTTTGGAGGTTATCAAGTAAATGTGATTTGGGGGTGGGGGAATCACTGCTCTGCTTGCTGGGCTTACTTAAATCCCCTTCTTAAACCCTATTGGAGCAGATGTGCTCCCTCATCTGAAAGCACTGGAACAGGGAAGGTCCTTGGAATGTTGTGCACTCTCTCAAAGCA